TCAATATCAAAAGCCTCGGGGTGTGGGGAATATTCTGACCTGTGATGTCAGAGAGGCACGATGAGATTGTGTTCCAGAACTGATGGACTTCAGGACATTCCCAGATCATATGAAGGTACGTTCCAATGGTATACATAGTTCCCACAGACCAATGAATGTCACATGACCTCCTCGGAGACGCCATCTTTGATGGCACGCTGCTGTGTTTGTGCATTCCATTAAACAGAAGAATGAGAATAAATGTAGATATTCAAACGCAAATTGGAAAAAAGGGCAACTTTTGAGCAAATAATTGTATATTAATACAATGGCACCACAGTTTAACGTGCTACGGACATGTTTTACATATTTGATCAAATTATGCAGCAAAAATTAACAAGCAATGCAAACATTTCTCAAAAACTTTAGATTTAATACCAGTTGGAGCTCCATTTAATTATTTTAATTATATTAACAATTAATTTAATTAATGCTAATGCCACACGGACACTCTGGATTGCTGTTATTGTTTATTTCCGCGTTTTTGACCGTATGTTTTGGTGAATGGTGGGCAACTGATTTTTCCAGGCGTAAAGAGCAGTTTATTTTATGACACAGATCTTTTTACAGAAGCAATGCTGTTTGTGAACATTGTTTTAGCCCACCATAGAACTATTATTATCTATTTAATACATTTACGTTGCCCTCGAGAGCCTCAGACGCGACACCGATCCTCCTCATAATAAAGTAATCTAACGCTAAATAATGAAACTCTCAAGTTACCAGCTATCAGCATACACAAGTTAGTACTGAGTAAATTACGTCTGTCAACACATTATGAGATACGATACGCACCTGACACAAAGTGCTCCGAGCATATTCTTGCGTGTTTTGAGGGAGTTTCTTGCCTGTTTATCTTCGCAAGCCATAACCTCCGTGGTTGTTCTGACAAAAGCTTAGTCTTCTCACATTCATGAAGTCTAATGATGGGTATACTGTAAAATCCAAGTTTAACAGAACCTCCGGCACGATTTGAACATCCATTGACCCAGCAGGAGATGACCATTTTCAACTTTATCATGACATTAACACGTTTCAGCTTCTTTTTCTATTGTTTTGCCCACAGAATGCCAAGACAAATGGCGCCGGGTCGGCAAATCCCCGTATGTAGTGACGTCATGTGGGAACTATGTATTGTCTGCACAGTAATCACAGTAAGGGTTCTCTTTTAGCTTCATCTTATGTAATTGCCTTGGAAATAAGTAGGACCTGTGGATACATTTATAATGAATCCTTTGGTGATTTGGATTTCTCGATGATAGTGATAAGTTGGACCAAATTTTAGACCAGTCCCAAACGGTATAGTCATTTAAATCTGATTTCCAAAGTGATTCAATTGGCAGACGATTACATTGTGATTTTAAGATACATTTATATAGTTTGGAGACAATACCATTGAGTTTCCCTTGGCCCAGGATAGAATGGAATGGGTGGTCTGGGAGGTAGCACCCCCATGGGACCCCCTGAGCCTGCATAGCAGTCCGTAGCTGAAGATAAAAAAAGAATGACGAGCTTGGTAAATTGTAAGAAGTTCTAAGATCTTGAAATTCCCTTAGTCCATCTGGCCCTGTGATGTCTTTCAAAGAATGGATTCCCTTGTGTTCCCACTGGGGGAAAGATATTGTTTTTTTGCCTATTAAGAGTAGATGATTGTTAAAAATTGGTGACTGTAGGTGAAATATATCACTGTTTTTAGTGAACCGGTTCACCCTGTTCCAGGTCGTCACCAGGTGGGTAATGATGGGACCATGGTCTTGTTTTATCATTTTCATTGGAATGTTGGAGTAGATAAAACTTGACAAGTTATATGGTTTGACTAGCTCCATTTCAATGGGGCTCCACGAGGCTGCGTTCCCAGTTCCAAGCCATGAGACCAGGGCTCGCAGAGTGAAGCACCAGGAGTACCATTCAAAATTGGGGAGGTTGAGACCCCCGGATTCTTTAGGTTTTTGAAGAGTAGATGCTTTCACTCTGGGCTTTTTATTGTTCCATAAATATGTATTAGTAAGAGAATGTAACTTCTTCCAATATCCTTTTGGTGGGTCTAAGGGCAGCATGGAGCTAATAAAATTGACACGAGGTAGTATGTTCATTTTTATAACAAATAAGCGAGCTTGAAAGGACATTGGAAGTTTTCCCCATCTCTGAAGGTCATCTTTTAGAGTTCTCAAGGTATTATTATAATTTTCGTTAATCATAGTACTCATTCTCGGATGAATTTGGATACCAAGGTATTTCATAGTTTTAACAATGGGAATATTCAGAACAGACATATCATTTGTGACAAGACTCAGAGGCATCAAAGCAGATTTTGTCCAGTTTACTTTGTAGCCCGCTATTTTGCCAAACTGCTCAAAAGTGTCAAGCAAAAATGGAATTGATTTTACTGGATTGCTAGTATAGATTAGAATGTCATCGGCATATAATGAAATATGATGAACGCTGTTTTGAATCTTGATCGGCTCAGTTTCACCTGACTGTCTAATGAGTTGTGCTATCGGTTCTAGAGAGAGAGTAAATAACAGTGGTGACAGTGGGCAGCCCTGGCGTGAACAGCGCGGGACACAGGAAACCTAGGAGAGCAGGAAGTGCCTGTCATAACCACTGCACTGGGGTTGGCGTAAAGAGTTTTAATCATTAGGATGAAGTTTTCATCGAAACCAATATGCTTAAGCACAGACCATAAGTAGCTCCATTCTAATCGATCGAATGCCTTTTCAGCATCAAGCGAAAGAATGGCATTTTGGTTTGGAGCTTTAGATGAGCTGTCTATAACATGCAGTAATCTGCGGACATTGTCTGATGCGAGTCGGGACTTGATGAAACCAGTCTGGTCATAATGGACCAGGTCTGGCATATATTTCTCTAGTCTAGCCGCCAGAACCTTTGCAAACACCTTTAAGTCTGTATTTAGGAGACTGATGGGCCGATAGGAGGAGCATTCTGTTCGAGGTTTACCTTTTTTGAGTAGAAGTGAAATAATTGCTATATTGGAGCTGTCAGTGAAAGAGCCATTATTAATAGAAAAATGTAACATTTTTAGGAGCAACGGTCCCAACTGGGGCCAAAGGGCACAATACAATTCGGGTGGGATTCCGTCTAATCCTGGAGATCTACCTGTGTTCATTGATTTAATCGCATTAGTGAGTTCCTCTAAAGTGATTTCTGCTCCTAATGAATCTGCAGCCTCTTGTGGCAGTTTTGAAAGATTTAGTGATTTTAGAAAATCATTGCATTTTTTGTTGCTATGAGTAACCTCTGACTTATATAGTTTTTCATAAAATAATTTAAAAGCATTATTAATATCAGCAGGGTCAGAAGTCACAGTGCCATTTTCTATAGTAATGGCTGAGATGTTGGCTAACTGCTCATTGTTTTTAATTTTTAGAGCAAGTATGCGGCTTGGTTTTGCACTGTTTGTGTAGTGGTTCTGTCGAGCTCTGTGCATTTGAAATTCTGCCTTCTGTCTCAGCAGATCACTAAGCTCATTAAAAAGTGTTGTGCGCTTATTAATTTTTTCAGGAGTGACCACATCTACCATTTCCCTCTCAATCACAGTAATTTCCTGTTCGAGAGTTGCTATTCTCTGTTTTTTAGTTCTATTTAATCTGGAAGCATAGGAAATTGAGCAGTTTCAGATACATCCCTTGACAGCCTCCCAGCAGATTCTCGGGTCATTCACTGACGGTTCATTGATAGCAATAAAATCTGTTATATCCTCAGTTAATAGTTTCACAAAGTCCTCGTCCTGAAGTAAAGTTGTATTAAAACGCCATCGTGTGGCCCTGGTCTGGACTGCTTTCATTTTGAAGGAGCAAGAGACGGCTCTATGATCTGAAAATGGAAAGGGCGTCATCTCTGTAGCACAAATACTTTCAAAAAGGTTTTTTGACACAAATATATAATCAATCCTGGAGAAGGTTTTGTGACGTGCGGAATAAAAAGAAAATTCTCGAGCTGATGGATTCATCAAATGCCATGTATCAATTAGACAATATTGCTGAATTAAAGTTTGCAATGCAATAGAAGCTAGTCTTTGGTCGTTATATCTTTGGCTCCTGTTCTATCAGTGCTATGGTTCAATACTGCATTAAAGTCCCCCCCAATAAGGAGGCGATAATCAGTCAAATCAAGAAGAATAGAGTTTAGAGAGTCATAGAAGTCTTGATCATAGCTATTTGGTGCATAGACACACATGAGCGCAATTTTAATTCCATTTAAGATGATTTTACAGAATGTTATCCGGCCCCCTGCATTGCTGCCAGTGCCTAAATTGGAATATGTTAGATTGCGACGGATGGCTATGAGAACTCCTTTTTTCCTCTTTTCGTTGCATGATGAGGCAATAACCTCATAGTGTTTATTGTTTAGTCTATGCGTGTCTATTTGAAGAAGATGTGTTTCTTGAATAAAAGCTACATCGATGCTCCTCCTATGCAAGAAGTCTAGAGTGCTTAGGCGCTTCTGTGGAAAATTTAACCCACGTACATTCAATGAAAGAACATTACTTTTATCCATTTAATATATATATAGTATGTGACAGGACATGAGAAACAAAAAGATACCTAGACAATACCCCCCCACGCACACGCACACACACACAAACAAATAAAAAAGGATTACAATGGCAAGTAATTAAAAGAAAGAAAATCAAAATCCCCCCTGAAAAAACGCAAAGAAAAAAGACCCATTCCCCCAAAAAGACAGTTCCGATAACCATGATCTGAGCTTAGACCATCTCCCCGTTACAATAACAAAAGGTGGGATGCTTTGTCGTACCTGTCCCAACGTGCAATGTCTTATTATAGCCAGGAAAGTCATAAAAGAAAATGAATAAAAATAGAAAAACAAGGAAAAAAGAGAAGGGAAAAAAAGTCTTTACATCTGGCGTATTCATGTACAAAAAAGAAAACTGAAACAAAGGACCCATCAGATAGACAGTCTTACCCTGCATTGTTGTGCTAGTCACGATTATCAGCCGCAAGGAATTCTTCAGCATCCGTGGACTCCTTGAAGACATAGCTTTCGTTGCTTCGCTGGAGCTTGATTGTAGCGGGGTAGAGAAGAAACGCGTCGAATCCTTTAGTGCGGGCATCATGCATTATTTTGTAGCATGATTTACGGCGGGCTGTCGTGGGTTCGCTGTAGTCCGCGGCGAACTTTAACTGGATCCCGGCGACTTCAGGTGCGTGTTTGCGAGCCTCCTTCAGCAGCAGGTCCCTCTCGGTGTAGCGCAGGCACTTCAGGATAAGAGGACGCGGGCGATAACTATGGCCAGTGTCCGCTGAAGCAGTGGATCTCCGCGGTGGGCCCAGACGGTGCGCCCTCATGATCTCCAGAGGGGCAGCCCCCAGAGCCGGGAACCACTTCGGGAAGCTCTCCAACATGTAAGCCCGAGCGTTTGGCCCTTCCGTTCCCTCCTTAAGGTTGAATATAAGAAGGTTGTCTCTGCGAGATCTGTCTTCCATCTCGGTGATTTTTGCCTCCAATGACTTTTGGTGCTTGTTAGTTTGCGTGATACGTTCCTGCAGCATGTTTGTATCAGCACGCAAAGTTTTGATTTTGTCAGTATGACGGCAGAGAATGGAATGCATGCTTTCAATGCGCTTTTCTAATCTGTTACTACGGGCCTCGGATTTGTCGTCCGCTTCTTTGAAGAATTTTGCCATAGTCTCTTCGATGACTTTGGCGAGAGCAGAATTCTCCACGCCAAGTTCCTTGTTTAAGTCCGTCATAATGGCTTGCTTCGCAGCAGTGTTTTGTCTCGTTTTCCTCATTAATATGCACTTTGGCAGTATTGTCTCGTGTTAGCACCGGCTTTATCCCATTTCCAAAGAGTTACATGAAAAGTTTTGTACTGGGGGAGAGCGTGTTGTCTATGCTGCCACCATGACACCGGAAACCTGCCTGGGCTTATGATGCAGCTTTAGTCTTAATATTGCAAGTAAATTTAGAAACGTTTTCATCCTCTGAAGACAAAGCTCAATTACATCCATGATGAAAACGGCCTCTTGTAGTCACCACAACGTTTACTTTTGAATGCGCTGGAAAACGCATTACAGTGCACTGCAGTGTTCATGGTTTTACACTGGTCCAGACCAGAGCAAAGAGGATTCATGGTTCGAACCAAGCGGATCAGGTGAAAATCCACTGGAGGAATGCTAACTTTTTGAAAAATGCTAATGAAGCATTTAGCATTTTACTTTGGACTAGAGCAGAGAAAATAGTCCAAACCAAGCGGCTACTTCACCTTGTGACCCGTCCTACTCCACCTCCACTGCTGTGAACTGTTTTGCTCCACCCAGAGATGACTCCGTCTTTGCTGCTGTGACCTGAAGGCCTGTGGCTGATCAATACTATTATTAGCTTTTTAGAATGATCAATTTTATTTTTGCTGGTACTGGACACCTGAATTTCTCCTACGGGGATCAATAAAGTATCTATCTATCTATAAGAGCACCACAGTGCTGACATAGCAGTGAATAAAGATACAGTAGCAACCTGATGTGTTTTCATTTGTCTAATCTTAACACGTTTAGGGCCCTCATCAAAATCAGCATCAAAGCCTAGAGAATGTAAATGTTGTTTATTTGTGTTATTGAGACAATAATTATGTCCGTTGTTGTTCAAGCTCCGGCGATCCAAGATGGCGCCCAATTTAAATCATTGGATTGTGCTCAATGGCGTATGTGCCACCACGGGCACCGAGAGATCAGCAGAACTCTGCGCAGTGGACGAGCTCCCATAATGCGTTGCGCCAAATACGTGTTTGTGGCATTAAAGTGTGGATTTAAAGAAAACCGAAGGATTGAAAAGTTCAGAACAACAAGGGACACTAAAATCACTACAAAATTTGATCTTTATGAAAGCTGTAGGTTCTCTGTCAGCTGAGGTATAAGTATGAGTTTGTATTAAGTTATAAGGGTAAAATGTCTGAGTAGCCCGTGTAAACTTGGTCTTGTTTAGTCTGCAGTACCGCGAGAATCCCCGAACACATGGGTCCTTCAGCTCCAAGATCGTACTACCCTATCCAGTTATTATATATATATATATATATTATATACATCCATGGTTGTAATACACTTTTTCATTGGCCTTTGGTCAATACAATCTTAAACTTGGAAAAGGCTGTATCTGGTTGTGTCCATAAAACCTTGTGAGGAATAATGTAACATTTATTCTAGGACTGAAACTATTCTAATCTTTATTTAACTGTTTGCTTGCAGTGTGTTATTGCTACTAGCACTTTCTCCAAGCTGAGATTGTTCTAGGATCAAAATTATTTCATAAACATAATTCCATTAGAATCAACTACATATAGAAAGACCAAGATACTAAAATTGCACATAAGGAGAGTAATTATTCTTCTAAAACAAAAAATCCATCAAATTGACCGCTCTGGTGTGGAATCTGACCTGCATTATTTGCATTGTGGACCCCTGATGTTATTATTCGAAGAACTGAACGTATTTTTTGAGTGTTTACAATCTGTTAATAAGGTCAGCAGACTGAAGAATTCCTTTGTACATAAGTCTATCCTGAAACAAAATGAGGAGCTTAAATCATAAATTGAAACTTATCATCGCAAGTGTGTCTTTGTAAAATGTCCTTTATGTGCACGCCTTTACATTGTATGTCAAATAGAGCTACTGAACTGTGCAAAACACAAATTTGGAACCCTCGTGTCTGACAATAAAGTACTTATCTATTTGTTCTGACCCACATTGTTACTACAGTGTCTATATCTTAAACATGCATCAGTAATATCTCATCTGATGAAGTCTGTTTTATGCACATTGGTACAAATCAAATAAAAACCTTTGTCCCCTTTTGTCTGATATGGGAGGACTCGTAAATAAAGCAGGTTACAGATGTGATCACTGCTGCCTCTGTCTTCATTTGTCTTGACACTGAGAGTTCTCGTGTGAATGAGCGTACCTCTCCAGGACGTACCTTAAGACATTATGTTTATTATTTCCTAACTTGGGAAGTGGATTTCCCCAGTCACAAAACTGGCACACGACCCACTGTGAGGTCCCCGTCTTGTGATGAGCGTGCACATTTGCAGAAGTTCATCAGGTTTTCTTGAACGGATTGTAAATATTATATCAGATGACCAAGACAAATAAGGAAGTGTCCTATAGGGAAACTGTCCTGCTGTGTCATTGTGATCTATTCAAACATAATGTGAGTCATACAGGGGTAGGTCTATTCTCTGCACAGACTTGCTGTCAAAGGATTCTGACATACCCCAACTATTCTAGAGGACAATCTGGGCTCTGATAGTCTCCCCATCGTCATCGTCATTATCATAATAAACACTAATTGTATGATTTATTTGCTGAGTGGCCCACTGCAATTTAAGATGTGGGTTTCCACTTACCATTTCCAACATTTTGAGGTCTCTTTTACAATTCCAAATATAATACATATCTTGATCATCAAAATGCATATCAAATGGAGAAACCCATAAGACCCAAGGATTGGCCATAATTATAATATACATATATAAGAGGGCAGCTGACCAACATGCTGGAGGGAGATGGTGCTGCTCAAGAATGCACACATTTCAATAATGATGATGATGATGAAGAAAAATAATAATTAAGACTTGCACTATAGAGGCTAGTGCCAGCTTGTTGAGCTCTCTTCAAAGCATGACCTGGAAGTCACTATTTGTACACAAAAATGTATAACTGAAAATGTGGGACAGGCTTCTTCTCTGACAATGTTCAAATCCAGATAAAAAACAGTTCTGTTACGCCGAGCTACAACAGAAGGAGTTTATTTTCACTCTTTGTTAATGTACTGTGATTATTTATGGATTTAGTGCTGTTTGCGTTTGCTTCTTTTTTGTTTTCTTAGGCACTTTGAGTTGCTTTGTGAATGAAATGTGTTCTACAAATAAACTTGCCTTGCCTTACCTGAAGCACTTTTGGTGATCATGGTCTGTTTAATGCGCTTTATAAATAAAGATATCTTACTTACTTTCTGTTTTCCGTACACCACATGGTGCTCTACTGTAATGGTTTATATGTGACATTCTATTCAAAGCAGTTACCGTAAACACAAAATATAAGAAGAATATTACAGTAAAGGTGGAGTGTAATGGCCCCTTCCCTCCTGAGGGATATTTCTGGTTACCTTTTATGTTTTTAATGATGTTCCAATAGTGAGAATGTGTGAAACATTGGCTGAATAGACAAGAGTTTCTAATGATAATCTGTTGCATTGACAACACCAGTTATCAGAATGTCTAAACTTCCCAGCAAACTTTACACAGTGCTCACCCAAACTCCACCTACCAAAAATACAAACCTTTTATTTCTGTAATTAAAGTAATATTTTTGGTGATGAGAAAAAACAAAACTTTTTTGATTCTGGAATACCTCTTAATTGCTTCGTGTAGTTGATGCTAAACTGAGACGTCAGCAACCGTCAGCTTAATATTATATAGCCTCTTTGTGTATCCTTGATTTTGTGCTTGTAATTTGTGTACTTTTTAAATAAAGTAATCTCATTTAAATTATATAATTTCGAAAGAGAGACAATAAACATATGTATGGGCTATAATTTGCTATTATTATCATTATTATTATTATTATTATTATCATTATTATTATTATCATCATTATTATTATTATCATCATTATTATTATTATCATTATTATTATTATTATTATTATTATTACTATTATTACTATTATTATTATTATTATTATTATTACTCATTTCAATGTATTCTTGAATAGCCCTAAATCACAACAATAGGACTTTACACAACTTTTGAAATTGCCAACACAGATCCATAAATCAAACAGTTCAAAGTCAAACACATGAAATAGAATAAAAAACACATCAGTATTGGTCCATAAGGCGCAGAGGACCAAAGTGCTAATAAATGGCATTGACTGTTGAGCGTCCTGGATCATCATCAGTGTATTATTGTAATTTGGTTTGAACATAAATAATATAAATATAGTATCACACCAGTTATTGAGAATACTTTTGGAATCTGTTCTGCAATAAGAATAAGAATACAAGTTTAAATCCCTGCAAAAGAAACTAAACAAAGTGATTACCTGAAGGTTGAGAAGTGCAGCTGGTCCACGCAGTATCTATAGGGTCAATCTAAAGTGTGCTGGCTGTGGATGTTTGCATGCAGAGCTCAGCATTCCTGACACAAGTGAAAGGCCTCAGATTTAAACCACTTCATGTTTCCTCTTTTTAGTGCCATGAGCGGGGTGCAAACTCTAGCATTTTGTGGCACTGTCCCATATTCTATTTAAGCTACATACATGTGCATATTTCAGATATTAACACAGATATTAAGACTAATTTCAACCTTATAATGATTTACCCAATTCCACAGAAACACACAAAATACATACTGGGATATTGTCTACTCTAAAATAACACTTTTTAACATCCATAAATCATTATCTCATGTTTTTGAAAGTTTTAAGCTTTTATAACTATTCAAAGCAAATCAGTAAGCAGGGCAGTACCTGGTTAGTGCAGTGATGGGGCGGCT